TGCGCAAACTGATTAGGTATGGTAGTATTGCTATACGCATGCGTGATCTTTCTCCACGAGAACAATCTCATATGGCAGAATACACTCAGGTACTCTGCAACCAATTTTTGCCTTCTCAGCTAACTGTCGCAACTTTCCGATGTATTCTTCGACTTTTCAACTTTGCGACAAGTTGTTTGACTTATCGTCCAACATTTTTTACTTTCCAGCTAACTTCTCTCATTTGCAAGCTATTTTTCAACTTTCGCACAATTTTGTCGACTTTCCATCTAACATTTGTGACTTTTGAATGCTAATTTTGCAAGTTACAACAAATTAATCGACTTTCCAACCAACATTTTCGACTTTCCAGCTAATTTCCAATTGTCTACAACCCAATTTTCAACGTTCCACAAAAGATGTTCGACTTTCCATCCAATTTTCGCAACTTTGCTACATGTTGTTTCAACTACCTGCCCAACTACATGTAATCGAATTTCCAGAAAACATTACCACTTTACAACCTATAGTTCGACTTTTTCACATTTTCGACGTTTCTGCTAATTTTTTTCCCTTTGCAACTTCTTTGTCAACTTTACCTAAACTTTCCCTGCAAATTTTAGTAACTTTGAAGTATAATGTTCCACTTTCGAGGTTACTTCTGTCACTTTTCAATCTCTATTTTAACTTTTCACCTAAAATTTCCGACTTTTCGGCTATCTTGTTTTACTTTGCAACCTATTTTTATTTAATTTTCATGGGCCTTTGTCGCTTTTCCAGCTAACTCAAGCAACGTTGGAAATCATTTGTGACTTCCCAAGCAACTTTCACACCATTCTAACCATTTTTTTCATAATCTAACACATGTTTAATCACAGACAGTATAGTGGGACTTTACTGTCTATGGTTTAATGTATTATCCGGTGCTAGTATATGAAAATCATTGAGACATTAGAGATTGTATAGCGCCCTCTGAAGTAGGGTCAATGACAGCAAATTTTCCATCGAAGATGGCGCTTTTGTAAAATCGCACAGTCTTTCTTTTCACTTCCTCGTCCAAATGTTATTTATTTGGAATCATATACACTTTCTCAAACAATAATCCAGTTTTCGCCATCGTGTAGTATTTATTAAATTCTATGTTTAAAAATACAAAGTGTTTATTTTTAATATATTCTTGTGAGTAAATCCCATATATGCTTCTAAAATAATAAATACGGCGATCGATCCAGTAATCACGTGATTTACACAAAGTTTCTGCACTGGTTTGGTCGAGCAACTATGGCGATACTTACGTTAATCGCGGTATTTTTATCGACTGTAGCATTAGGGTCTCAAGCTATTGGCCCCAGGACCATCACTATAAATAATGTTCCAATGATTGACGAAATCGAAAGAAATACGAACGAATCAGGCTCAGTGGACAAGACACAGGTAACGTAGTCAACAACAAGCTTGCCATTCACGTGACCATTGTTTTGATAGAATGACTGGCAGCTGCTGTACACGCGCTTTCTACCCAGATAAACCATTGGAGGGATAATACAAAAAGAATAATGATGATTTTTTTTTCTTCTCAAAATTTATTCCCTTCAATTTTCCAATGTTCAACCCCTGTAGCTATAAATGCCAAGGTCACTGTATACAATATAGTAATAATGTTATTATTATATTATTATATTATTATATGTTATTAACTAGGAACTGATGAAATGAAAATAAATAAAAAAAGGGCAGAGCTCCAGAAGGAGTACCTACACTTTATGCAAATTTTTTTTTAAATTATGCTAATTTATTCATGACGTAGCAGTTTCTGTGCTCATGAATATTCATTAATTTGTGGGGCAATACATTTTAAAAGGGGCGATATATTATTTTTGGGGGAAGAGTTAGATAGGGGGATTAGCAATCCTTAGGGGGTCAATACAAAAGAAGGGACCCATTTGCAGAGCAGCCATGCTCCTCGTGTCTGTTGTTGCACGTAACCTACAGCTGTCAACTGTGTTCGTGGGGTAGTATTCTTGTGTTCTGTTTT